AATATTTAACAATTTAATGGCTTAGTGATATAATTGAAATGAAAATCAAAGTTTAGTGGTATAATTGAAAAAATTGAAAGTTTATTAGAATAAATAATACAACACTTAAAATTCGATGGTATCTTATGTGTTTTACCCTTTCTTTTATAGTGTTAATATGTTAGTACTTAGTACTTAAGGACACTTCATTATTTTAAGTAAACTACCAAGTGTTTTTTAAAGTTAATGTGTGCATCTAAAGTAATGCCCCACGTGGCGCATCGGTTGGGCTCCGGTTTCTCCTTGCCAATGCATATCACCTTTGACGATCAATATGAGAAAATATAATTAACAAAATCTAATCTATTGAATTTGAAGTAAATTACATTAGTATTCACTGATGCCATTTATCACATTCCCATAGGAAGGACTATAAAAGACTTGTCGACATGTTTCCTTATCACTCTCTATCGTCTTATTTCCAGTGTGATCTATTAATATAACTTTTAAGAATTATTTTCTTAATCGTAGATATATGATCTATTGATTAATTATTTTGAATTGAATTTTGTATAAGCTCACTATAACGACGTTCCTTCTAATCTAATTTACTTCTTTTACTATAGTCATGATTTAAGCTATTGACCTTACGATTTAGAGTCTCGTTTCACTTTTTAATGCTTTTAAGAATCGATGCGTCATTACTAAAACAACTTGATGTCTAGCACCATAACTTCAACATCTTCATCGGGATTCGAAGTGATTACACTTTTTAAGTAGACGTTAAGTATTTTTTCTATTTGAGAATCTCATGGAAGTAATTGATCACTAAAGTTAAAAGATATCGTAAAAATATAAAGTAATAATCATTTTGATTTTTTGTTTTTACTCGGTTTATATTTTTTATATGTAACCTAATGTTTAAATTTGAATATATGTGCGTGCCATTGAAATTAGGAGGGGTATGTAAGATTACTTTGATACATCAATGTCTTTCTCTCCATGGATAAGTACTTGGTAATATTTAGGACCAATCTTATGCTTTTGGCCATTAAGATTATGTTTACCTGTTATTATTTTAATGAACGACCATATGATACATTCGTTTTAACTATTATTTTTACCCTAAACGTATTCCCTTCCAAAAAATTTATTTCCTTTCTATCCTTATGGTGATTCGATATTGATAATATAAACATTCATGTTATAAGGTAAATGAACTTTAGGATGAAAATTTAGAAATGAGGAGTCTATAGCAATCTAAGCAAAAGAAACATATAATGAAGTATATTTAAATCAAGCGACGTGAGAAAATGAAGATTCAGTATAAAAATAATAATTCATGGATTAATAATCCTAGAAAAATTGTTTGAAAATAGGCCGTAAAAAATTCATATCAGCCATCCAAAAGGCGAAGTCGAAAGAAGTCACATAAGAAATAAATGAATTCAAAGAAATTTATGATCAGATCTACATTGATTAAAACATTTTTAGGTGAAACCAAACTTAAACACTGAGGTAATCTCTCGATGAAATTTTATATCATTCGACTATGATCAACGATAATGATAATTAATTCAATTTACATATATTTTGGTACGCTCATATATTACCACCGTGTTCTTTTTTCTGTGACATTTGTAATCCTTTTCAACACTAATTTATGTTTTAGTTCATGTAATAATCTATACAAATTTAAACTCTAAATTTATTTGTTTAGAAAATAAATGATAGTATCTAACTTATATTAAAATAAAGGGTAAAACTATGCCGATAGTCTCTTATGTTTCCGGTCTGACCGACTTTGATCACTGAAAAAAATTAAATGGAAATGGTCACTATAATTATCGGTTCGTCCGATTTAAGTCCCTAACGTTACCGGTCCGTTCAATTTAAGTCTTTAACGTTATCGGTCCGTTCGATTTTAGTCCCTCAATCATGTTAGTGACTTCAACAAAAGGGACTTAAAATAAAAGGGGGTTAAACGGAATTAATAGCAGAAGGATTTAAACCGGACGAACTGATAATGTAAGGAATTATTTTTCTATAAATTTTTTTTACGAACAAAATCGATCAGACCGAAAAAAGAGACTATCGCATAGTTTACCTAAAAATTATCATATTGTACGAATCCAAACAAAACAGAATATTCTAGTATATTTGAAAATGGATGTGAGACTAGCCGAACAAAGTTGATAAAGAGTTCAAATTTGAGATGAAAATTCTCAATCACAAAATCGACATATTTATTATTAGTCAAACCTCAATTACAGTTGAATTTTGAGTTTTCAAAGCCCGCAATTCCAGTATATCTATGAACTCTTTATTTTATTCTTTGACAACAACATTTAGCCAAATTGATAATATGAGGAAATACTACAAATGCTGGAATTCAAATATTAACTTTGTTGACTCTTTTTTTTTTTAAATATTTGTATAAAACACGAATCGAGTTACTTCGGTGGTGAAGGAATTGATGTTGTTCTTTGAAGTTCTAGGTCCGAGCAACAAGAATACCAGGGACGTGAACGTTCAATGTCAAATGGCTGAGAATTATCTTTGAACATAAACTGATATTTTCAATATTAAACGATATTATGGTACTCTGAATGAAATAAACCAGATCGAGAAAATGAACATGAAAATATAAATAAATATTTAATAAACAAATGTTTGATGTTTCTTCTTGCCCACCGATGTAAACTTTGAATTTCTTAAAAGTTTTTGTTTTTTATTTAACATATTACTTTCCTTGAATTAGTTATATTTAATCTATAAAAAAGTCATACTTTTATATAATATATGTTAATATTGATTAATTGTCCATTAATAGAAAGGAGATTGTGAAGTTGGATGTTGGTTAAAATGTGGAAAATGATTAAAAGTTAAAGTCAGGGTCAAAATTAATAAAAATAATTAAGGTCAAACAATGATAATTATTTGTTAAAAAAAGCTTGAATAAATGAAGACATCATATCAAAGTACCAAAAGTAATTATGACTGTGAATGGTCAAAGACTTTATTTATAGATGCGATCCCCACCCCGCTATTCGCGTGAGTAAGGAGGAGTTATTTGATAATTGATGTTTATATTTTTAAAATATATATAATATTTAAATCTAAGACTTTACATGATAGCAATAAATTTATTAATCATTAAGATCGTTTGATTCATATATCGTTTAGAAATTTTAAAAAAATATTTATAAAAAAGTTTCAAAAAATAAAATATATAATATTATCAAAATATTTTAAAAGTAATAAAAATAAAATAAAAATTATTTGTTTAATTTTGGTTTTCTACTTTTGCTTGGCCGATGGTGACACCCGCCTCAATGTTGGTTGTTGACCGTCAGAGCTTTTTATTTGTCGTTTTTATATTGTATAGTTATTTTTTATTTTTAATAACTCTGCCTTTGTGGCATTTTTCTTTTCTCTATGACATGTTTTCTTCTGTCTTGTGACATGTTTTCAGTCGTTTGACTGATCTTTTTATTTTTTTTAATCTTTTTTTAGGGTAGGATTAGATGACTCCTCGACTGATCAAGATGACGCTTTTTTATTATCTTGATGATATTCCCTACTTTGGGCCCTCATATTGGGGGGATACGTGGTTGTGTTCGTGGATAGTTTCTCACGTCACTCGAATCTGATATGCGATTTTGCCGTCAGCTTTTTGGTAGTTTGCATCCCTTTTTATGATTTGTTTGTTAATGCAGTTAAATTTATTCATATCTATCTTTTTTGAGTATTTTGATTGGATTTTAAACATTTTATTTATTTGATCCTTGATCTCAAGTGACTAGTATCTCGTTTAATGGTTATACGAAAATACCCTAATAATGTGTTTAGTTTACAATTATAGTTGTAAACATTCATTGTATTTTTTATGTTTTTCTTTTTAATAAAAAAAATTGGTTTTATTCAAAAAAAAAATTAAATAACATATGTCAACAATCTTACTTTCCACCTTTATAATTGAGGCTCCTAATTTTTTAATATCATATTTTACATTTATAATTGAAGCTCCTAACTTTTTCAATCTCATTTTTTACTTATATAATTTAGGCCCCTAATTTTTTCAAGCTAACCTTTTACATTTAAAATTGAGTCCCCTAATTTTTTTAATCTTACTTTTTACCTTTATAATTAAGGTCCTTAATTTTTTCAATCATACTTTTTACTTTTTTATAGTTTAAGCCCCTAATTTAATCATTTTTCTAAGATTTATTAATGTAATATTAAATTAATATTTCTTTGTCCAAGATCGCTCTGAATGTTTGAATTTACAACTTTTTATTAAGAGCGTAATATACTTCATCAATATATTCAACAGTCATTGATAAATAATTATCACCATAGCCTTTTTTTTTTGGTTTGAACACTTTACAATAGTATGATATTAAATTGCTCTTCGTTCTATAATACAAGGAGTTTTCGAGGAATTATTCCAACAATTTACTTATCCCAACTACTATTCCGTTAACCGCGTTTTTTGTATAGCTTGACTTTGGGTCAGCTTTGGACAAAATGCATATAAGTTTCAACTAACATCACCGCTCTGCTCACCAATACGAAAATGCCACGTCATTAATTCCCAGGATTGGAAATTCCCTAAAAGTACAAAACAAAACAATGTTTACTCGCATCACGTTACCTATTATTTTAATAAAAAGTTTTGAATATTTTTATTTTAATAAATTTTACACGTTGAATTACTGATCCTAATTTTTTTTTACTTAAACTGCAATGAATGAATTTGAAAGCTCATCACAAATGATTTATTGAACGAAGAAATTTGTGATTAAATGATCAAATTTTTATTATTAATAGAACTTTTCAATATTGCGATTATTTAGTACGATTTGTTCAACTTTGGTACATCGCCTTTGACGGTCCTTTTGTCCTGCTTAAGGGACAATCTTCTATTTGATACACTTGGTTGAGTTATGTAAGAGAGATTTTTGCATGCAATTTGATACGCTTGGTTAAAAAAGGTGGCGAGTGAGAAAGAGAGAGGCGTCGATAATGGCAGAGGAGGAGCCGATAACGATGAGAGGAGACGGGGCGTGTTCGTCTTTTTCGTTGCTGTCAGAGGCTAGAAGGGAAAGGGAGATGTTAGCTATGGTTTCGGCTCTGACTCATGTCGTAGCCGGCGATGTCAGTGGTAAGGAGCTGCCGGAAGATAATGAAAACCAGGGTGGGTTTGGTTCAAGTGACAATTCTACTTCTTCTTGGAGTTTTGGTGGGAAAAAGAGAGGAAGGAAAGAAAAAGAAAGTGGAGGTGGCGGTGACGGTGATGGTGATGGTGGAGGAGGGATGACAGTAAACTCTACCGGTGTACGAGGTAAGCAACTCATGATATGAACGAGGGTACATATGAATGTCTTAGTCATGAAATTTTATTAGCATGAAGTGATTATAAGATACTATTTATTTATTTTTTAAAAAGTTATATATACCATGCAAATGAATTATACCAATGAAATTATTCAATAGATTCAAATGATAATATAATTGACGCAATTTGTTACAACGAGTGTACCACGTAAATGCAGGAATAGATGCACAAACCACAGCACAACTCCTTCCGGCATACGAATACAAAAGCATGGTTAAGTACAAAGAAGAGGGGAGAAGTAGGTATAGGGGAGTGAGAAAGAGGCCATGGGGCAAATGGGCAGCCGAAATAAGGGACCCTTATAAGGCGGCTAGGGTTTGGTTAGGCACCTTCGACACCGCCGAGGCGGCCGCCATGGCCTACGATGAAGCAGCCCTTCGTTTCAGAGGCAACAAAGCCAAGCTCAACTTCCCTGAAAACGTCAAACTCAGATCACCTCCTTCCGAACTAACGACGACCCAGTTTTCCGTTTCCGATTCTCCCGACACCCTTTTGTCCATTCCAACGGCCGTGGAGCCAATCGTTCACTCTCAATCAGATAGCCTGGTCCTAAACCCTCCAGTTCCATGGGGATATCTTGATTATTCTCGTCCCGGCAGTGGTTACCTTGGAAGACAAATAGTTTCAACTTCAGTAGGTTACAATGCACAATCTTCTTCGTCTTCGTATCCTCCTGTTTTACCGATTCAAGGTGGTGGTTTTGGATATGTTTCGATGCAATCTTCGTCGTCGTATTCTAGGCATCCTACAACCAATTCTAAATAGTGTTTCTAATTTTTAAGATTGTTGTTGGGACATTTTCTAGGACACATCTTATGTTGTACTTTCTTTCTCGGGGCCGTGGCTTATTATGGAGTCTTCTTTTTTTTTTATCCGGTCTCTTCTAACACTGACGGCTAAACTCTCGAGATAATGTTCTCGAATAAATTAATTCACGAGATAATGCACTCCTCAGATTAATTGCTCAAATAGGGTGAAATCTATAGTGTTGGTCGTAGGTCGCCATGCCATCCGGGCGACCTACTAGGTCGCCATGTCTTCCCGGCGAGCTATGAGAGAAATTGCATGTGTCATGCACGTTCTAACACGTTGGGCATCCGAAGGCATCCGACCGAGGGCATCCGACCGATGCCATTCGAGCGAGTTATGCGAGGGCATCCGAGGGCAAGAGGAATCACGCGAGAAGCAGGAGGAGTGCATGGCGACCTACAAGGTCGCTAGGAGTGCATTGCGACCTACAAGGTCGCCAGGAGTGCATGGCGACCTACAAGGTCGCCAGGAGTGCATGGCGACCTATGCTGGGAAGCTGCCACGCCGTAGGTCGCCCGGAAGGCATGGCGACCTACGGCCAACACTGTGCAATTTACCCTATTTGAGCAATTAATCTTGGGAGTACGTTATATCGTTAAATAAAATTTTCGAGAACATTATCTCGAAAATTTTACCAACACTGACAGTTTGATAGACTTCATATTTTAATTAATCTGAAAAATAAACTTTTGACTTATTTTATAGTCAAATGAAATAATGTTGCACTCGATTTATCATATGTGGTAGGGACAATTATACTAGTATTATTAGTGGCGGAGCTATATGCTTTCTAGGGTATAAACGTGCCTATTATGGAATTTAAAATTAATTATTAAGTATTTAATTTATATATATATATATGTCCACCTTAAAATTAATTTGTGCACACCCTAAAAATTTTTTCCCACTCTAGATTTATTTATGCCCAAAAGATAACTAAAAATGTCTATTATAAACATTATTTTTGTTTGGATTTTGAAATTCATTCATCAAGACCCAATTAAAATAAAACAATATATATATATATATATATATATATATATATATAGTTAAAACTCAAATCCAATATGAAACCCAAATTTAATATACAATCAAGATCTGATACCCTTAACCCCAATAATAACTAGTAATCAGTCAACCCAACCCCTAATCCCCTCCAAATTCTCTTTTCACCTAATACTGAAAAATGACAAAATCATTACTTATTCCTAGATTCCAACGGGTTAATATAGAAAAACTCCAATAACTTGATAAGACTATAATCTGTAAAAAAAATTGTAATAAAACCTAAATATCTTCAAAAAAAAACAGTCTACATACCTGTAAAAAATAGAGAATAATTAACAGAAGAAACTAAAAATAAATAAAGGAAATGTCAATCCTTTGTTGAGATTTTCCAGTGACGGCAAATATCTCCGACCGTAAATTCGTACGGCGAGCAACTTCACGATGACAAGTGCAAAGATTCTCTGAGACCACATGGATCAAACGACGTCGAGCAACTTTCCAAAACTCAAAAAATTACATTTGAATTAATTAATATATATCAAACATAAATTTATAAATATCAAACATAATATCAAAATAATATATATATATATATATATATATATAAAATCAAATAATTTTTTATGCATACTAAATCAAAGCATTAAAATTTACAAATACTAAATCAACATATAATCAAATCACTATATCAAATATATATTTCATAACATTAATTAATAAATACATTTCAAAAATCAAATTAACATATTTGAATCAATCAAAGGATTTGTAATACCCAAAAAATTGATTAGTGATTGAAGTGTAAATTTTGAGAGTTTAGGGACCAAAGTATAAAGTTGTAAAAGTATAGGGATTAACAATGTAAATTTTCAAAAGTTATGTTTTGGATTTGTAAATTAGTATTTCAGGCCAAATAATTATTTTAGTGGGTTTTAGATTTTTGATCCGGAATTTGCATAAAAGTCTATTAAAGGATAAAATTTGATATATTATTCGGATAACCAGCTTGAATCGGAAGTTTATAAAAATTTGCAGTAAGGTAGTTTTGCACAAAATATATTATCGGGTTATCATTTTTTGGGATTTTTGCACAATGTATGTTTTTTTTTTTCAATTTTTTCGGATTCAGGATTTGGTGAAATACCAAAACTCTAAACCCCTATTTATAGGCTCACCCCTTACGACTATAAACGATTAGTTTTTTAAAACGCCAAGCTTAACTCGTCACCTCGAGGTGATGAGTTCCACTGATCGTCACTACGCTGCCCGTTGAACAACGACTAACTAACGGCGATTTTCCTTAATTCGAAGAAACTCGTCATGTAGACGTGACAAATTTCGTCAGATCTTTTTTTTTTAATTTTTTAAATTTTAAATTTTATTTAAAATAATTATTTTTTTAATTTAAAATAATTATTTTTTAATGGACTCGAGGTGACGAGTCACTATAAACTCAATTAAATAATGGCCCATGTGGAGTCACTACATGGGGACCATTAAAAAATAATATCCAATTAAATTCTTTACCTCAAGGTGTTGAATTCCAAACGGACTATAACAAATGTCGTAATTTGCTAAATAAAACTTGGGTATGCCCAATACCCTAATTTTTTTACCCGCATGGGATATTTAGCCAAAAAAACACCGCAATCTATATTATTAAAAGCCCATGAAACCTTTAATTTCAAATATGTTTTGGTCGGACGGACACACCTTTGTTAGGCTTTGTTTGGAAATGTTTTCCAGACGAGTTTTTGTAATACAAAAGTGAAATTTTTAGCTTCTTGATTTGAATCAACAATTACTTTTCAAACGCGAATTTTTAGCCATTTAACTTGGCCGATGATGATCGATACATATGGGAATTCAACTACTTTTAGAGCTGCGACAGAGTATCGATATTGACATCAAGAACACTACGATATTTAACGCCATGGTTGAATTTTGGTAGAATTTTATTAATTCCTTGGCTTAGCTTAGTAGTTAGATCTTATGCTCTTACTCGAGAGGCTATGGGTTCAAGCTTTCTCAAAGTCAAAAAGTTTAGTTTTCATTTAAATTTTAAGATTTGAAAAAGTACTTTTGAGAAGATAAAATATCCATTTCATACATCTGCTGAAATATTCAGCTTTTCCAATTGGGTTAAAAAACTCCGTTCTAAACGCATTTTGATAACAAACGATACATTCCCGGTTATGAGAAATATAAAGCTTCAAAGATGAGAGAAAAGAAGACATGAAAGGTGGTAGAAATAAGTCAAAGAAACTGGAAAATTTTACATACATATGTTGTAATACTTGAAATGGAAGAACTATCTATTTGACTGTCTTTCTAAGTGTAATTTCACATTTCTGCATTAAATGATTTACCGCAACCGCATGTCTGGGTAGCATTCGGGTTCTTGAAAGAGAAACCTCCACCGATAAGTGCATCACTGTAGTCTAACTGCATTCCGAATAGGAAGAGGAGGCTTTTTGGATCACACACTGCAAAAAAACAAGCAGAGAAAGGATAAGCAACCATTTAGCTTACAAGTCAATCAAGCCGATATCCAACTAATACATAAACAGCCAAAGGCTAAATGAAACAAGCAAAGCTTCATTCAGTTACAATATCCTTCCAATTAAATGGTCATTCTAAAACCATGATAAGAAAGGAGCCTAATTTGCACTCGCACGTTTTCTGGGGATAGCCTAAATTATAGGTACCGACACTAGAGTGAGAAAATAACATCGGTATGTGCCAGTGGTACAAATAGCATTCCGATTTCTACAAGGCATTGTCATGTTAAAAGTGTTGATCATCATTCTCGTTTCCCCAGACAGAAATAAACTGAGAAAGGGACCAAATTATCCGAGAAACAAGCATTTTTCATATTATCTTATGGGGGAAACGACGAAATATAATCCTGTCATTTTATGCAAAGGTTCGACTTTCCTCCAAACAAAATTCATAATAAGTTGACATCATATGGGTTCTTTACTTCTTGAACTTTAGCAGTTGAAAATAATTGGGAAGAAAACCTCTTATTCACGTGGTAGCAATCTACAAACAATAATGCCAATTAAATATCTAAATGATACCATTCTCAACCTCTGAAAACAGAAGTTATAAAGTTTATATTTTCAATAAATAGTTCTTTCAATTATTGTAGGAACTCCAGAAATGCACCTAGAACCACGGCAAAATGCTCAAGTTGGGACCAAATCTTTTAACAACTAAGACTAAACCTTGGATTTTAGTCCATTAAGGGCTCAACATTTTCAAATTTTTACAGATAAAGACTTCAATTTGATAAAAGCCAGTATATTTGGCATCAAATAATTAAAAAAACACATACATAGATCTTTGTTTTACTTTTACCCCTCCAACTTGTTTTCATAATTAGTAGTGTTTACAGCTATTTGCTGAATATTCCCAGCATATTACTCTATTCATTGCTTAACAATAATTTTTATAAAAAATTCAGCTATGGTAAAGTTTTCCTAGTCTTTTGGGGTTATTCACGTTACAGTTCTTCCATCGTTAAAATTCCCAAACTTTCGGACTTGGAATCTTAATTCAATCAAATTCGGAGTAATTTCCCTCGAAGAATCTATCGAACACACTATAATTTGCCATGATTTGCTTATGTTATCGTTCTGCTTCATCCAATTTAGACTTCTGAATTAATCAAAACATTAATTCGAGCCTTTTCTTCTTCTTCTAATCGCATTAGAAAGCAGTAAAGAACATTGTATATAACGAAACAAGAGATACAAATGATCAAAACTCACCGATTGTAAATCCTTCATATTGAATGACGGAATCATCAGGTCTAGCATTACTTCTCTTCTCGAAATCCATCGTATACGACATGCCCGAACACCCGCCTTGCTTAACCCCAATTCTCAAACACAAATCCTCACCACGCTCCGCTCTCATCTTATTCAAGTGCTTCAAAGCGT